TCTCGGTTGTTATGGATTCATCTGCGTGCGTCGAGAGCGGTGGGTGTCCGCACATCCCACATTGACCGGTATGAATAATATTCCAGCTCGGTGTGGGCTTTTTATTCCCGTCAGACTCTAGAAGTGTTACGACCCATTAATTGAGAATTATCGTATATGAGGAGAGTCTGCAAACGCCTAGAAGGCACAGAGAAAGGGATGTTTTAAATTCACAGTGAGGAGGGGAGCTGGAGCCATGACCACCAGCAGTGCTTTCCCTTCTAGTTGCTGCTGCGCCTGGCCAGCGCGCTCCCTGCCAGTCGTTATCGCCTCTGAGTTCTGCTCCTTTGGCACCCTCTGGGACAGAACTGAACTATCCTGCTGTAGATTAAAGCTCCATCGCACAGCTTCCACCTGCTCCTGTTCTTTTTTTCTCCCTTTTCCTTTCACTGTAAGAACAGAGCACAAAAGATGTTTGAGAAACACGGTGGGAGCTGGAGTTAAATCATTTGCAGGGGATGAGGAAAATCAGCGAGTTTATGGTTTTGGCTACTGCGTCACTCCACTAGTACAAAATACCTTACAGCGCTGCAAGCCTTTACTTCCACAAAACTCTCCCATATCCAGGTGTATTAAATCCTGTGTATGGTACAGCGGAACGGGAACCTCCGACAAAGGGCGATTTGTGGCGTGGCTGCTGTGCAGCGAATCTCTGCCATCTCTCTGGATTGTACTTCGCTGTGGTTTAGCTTTTAACGCTGCGACTCCAGCCTGCCTCTGCCGTTGTGAGTGATGCCAAACGGAACGTGCCAGACGTAACCGCGGAACATGCTTGTTACCAGAGTTAATGACACAGCAGGCTCCAGGAGCCTGTGCCTTTTCTGGAATACCTTTGTTTTCCAGCGGCTCGCTATCCCGACAGCTCTGGCTTGTATTTGTGTCTGCGCAAAGTTTAAGTAGCTTAATGATATATAATGGGGGACATTGTGAGATGCCTGGAGCTGGCAGTTCCATGCAGACTTCCATTAAAATTAATACATGCATTTAATAAATATCGGCTTTTTGCAACCATTCTCTAGTCCGGGCTGTAAGTTTACAAAAAAAAAAAGGGACTAATTTTAATGATGGGGCCCATCTGGGCTGATTTATAACCTGTCACATGGACTGCAGGGGAGGCAGAGCTGATATAGTGATTTCTTGCATTAAATTACTGCATTCCTAGAAGATAGATATTGATGTGATAATTATTGAACAGGATATCAAAGTCCGTTTGCTGTCTGATTGCTCTGGAGCAGCAATAAATCAAGGAGATGCATTAAAATTCTCTGTTGGAAACAAAACTTCAGCTTTAATCAAATGTCAGATGCAGGCTGGCTGGTAACTATGATTTGGTGTTAACTGCTGAGCTGCTCCTGCGGAGTATTGAACAAATGACCTTCTAGGGAAAAGGAGCCTCAAATTGTAAACTCTCTAAATAGAAATCATACGCTCGTAATTGCTGCGGTATTTTACCTCGTTGCAATTGTTCAAGTGCCCGCTGCTGTGCCGCAGGCTCACCCCAGGGAGATGCGGGGAGACCGGGCAGCCCGTGACGGGGTTGGACCAGGCGGTGTGGCAGATAACTTAGGGGATCCCCCCGGAGCACCACAAAATCCATCTGGGAAGATGAGGCCTTAGACAACCCACCGAGCAACGCTGCGAAGTCAAGGGAATCTTTTTAAAATCGGGTCCTGAAGGGCAGTGGGACGGGATGCTGTTTGTCACAGCAGATGTGGGATTAAAGGACAGATTTTCGCCTGGCACGTGTGGCCGTGATAGAAATCTGCATTTGGGAGTCCACACCTTTGCTGTCCCACTTTCCGTGAATGTATGCGGCAGCATGCGCCGCACGCTGAGGATTAAGGTGTACCCTATTAATGAAAGCACCAGATCAGAAACCCAGGAATCTCTCCGCTTTGGAAACACGTAATTTTTATGTTTCGTCACGTCTCATTTCCAGGAAGAAAGCTTTGCTGCTTGTTCAGTACTGCGTGCTGCGAGCTCACCAGCGACTCTAAGCTTATCTGCTGTTCATCCCTTTAGAAATCCTACATTCAAGAACATAAACTTTTCCAGAGATAGCAGAGCTTTGATGCTGAAGTGTGTGATTAAATTGCCTTTCATACACAAGTTTACGAAATGGACTTCGAAAATCGCAAATATCATACAAATTAACGTTCCGCTGGCAATGTTAAGTCAGTTATGTTACCCACTTCATCTTTAGCTTATACTTAATGTTTTACACTCAGGGAAGACCTGTTAGCATCGCTGTGGCAACGTACAGCCTGTCTCGAGCAGGCGAAACTGTTGGTGATTTTCCTCTCTTGTCCCCTCTGCTCTTCCTTCTGCCATATCCCAAACATGTACACAACTCAAGTTTTCAATCGCTTTTAACGCTCCTGAGCAGAGCTGAAGGTAGTTAATCTTCTGAAACACCGAGCAAGAAAAAAAATGACTTTATGATATGTGATATTTCTAAAGCATTAGTTTTCTAATGACTGGTCTGGTACAGAAAGTCTCCCCGCTCACATTTGTGTATCTAAATTATAACCTATAAAGATTCACACATTCGATCAAAAAATGTAGTAGTTAAGTACACATCCGGGAGCTGAGCCAATGCGCAATCTGATCCCTCAGTGATACTTCCTTATCTGAGCGAAATGCTCTCCGTGGTTAATGGTTAAATGATAAAAATCAAAATAACCTTTGATTTGCAGAATGGATCTGTGACGCTGTGCCAGATTTGGGCTCCTGGCAGCCCAGTCTCTGACGGGCAGCGTCGCCTCTCTCCTGGGAGAGGCAGAGACTTTGTCACAGGTAGCTGCAGTGACTCTTCAGGGAGTTGTTTTCATTAGAGAGTGAGTGATGGCCTCGGGATGCGCTGAGATACGGCTCTCATCCTTTTTCACTTACTATGAACGAGACTGCTGGCGTTCTCGTTACATGCGTCAAGGATGGAAAAGCTTCTAGGGTTTTCTTTTTTCAGTCTGTAACTCTGTATGGTGAAAGCGCTGTTTGCACAGCAGAGATTTGATTGCGGAATTCGTGTGTGTCTGTGGCTGGACTTGGTATGATCTGATTTTCATTGATAAATGCTGGGGGTTTGTGCTCTCTGTCTCTCCTCAGACCTGGTGATGATAATTTCTGGATAATTTCGGCTGCGGAAATTGAAGTGTGAGAGCTAGGGATATAGCTGCAGGGAGGGGATGCAGCTCACAGGCCGACGTGGGAGAAGCAGAGTTATAGCCACGGGAAAGAGCCTAAATTTGATTGAAGGTTACAGAGAGCAGTGCAGCCTGGCAACCGAACCAATTTGAAATCAGAAATTTATATTTGAAAATAAGGTCAAATATTATCAAACTATCCTTATTTGGGGCCTTCGGGCTTAGAACCAGAGAGGAAAATCACAAGAGCCATCTCTGGCGCGTCCCCATCGGTGCTGAGCTAGGAGGTCTGTGACCATCACGCACGCTCTAACGACAGGATTTTCCTTCCAGGACAAGGTGCTGCGGATGCTGTACGTGTGGGCGCTCTGCAGAGACCAGGATGAACTCAACCCCTACGCTGCCTGGAGGTTATTGGACATTTCCTCATCGAGCACTGAGCAGGTTCTCTGAGAAGAATTGCACCCGAGGGCATCCCGTACCTCTCTTGAAGCAACGCCGCCTCTGAACTCGCGCCAGTCTGCTGTATGACGGACTCTGGGGGAAAGAGGCTAGACTGGTTCCTTTTCAGAAGAAGGGGCTGTTCGGTGTGCCCTCATTATACCAATCCCTGTTGCGAACTGGACGAGTCTGACACATCTGCCTTACGCTTTGCTGTGTAGTATGGCACTGTAAGGATGTACGGTAGATTTCAACGTGAATGGTCTAAGACACTAACAGCTGCTGTTGGCTTCTTTTTTGATTGTGACTGAAAGAGGCTGGTTTGGGTCCTGTAAGTTTTCCCAGTGCTACCAGTGATGGACGGAGGTGGGTATCGGAGATGTGACAGGTCTGGTTCCCATCTGCTGTCATCCTCTGGTGGCCTCAAAGGCATCCCTGAAAAGAACTTGGAGGTGCTTTTAAGGCATGTCTTGGTTGGTCTTAGCTAACACGCATCTCTTGTACAGAGTTGCACCGATAAGCCTTCTGTTGCTGCAGTGTCTTGCACTTCACCAGACCAAATACAATCGGGACTTTGCACGTCACTCTCTGTTGGCGTGAAGCGGAGTGGGGACGGCGATGTTGGCATCATCGGGCAGATTCTCCAGGCTGGTTGCAGTGTGGAGTTTGCTGCCCGTGATAATATTTATATATCCACAGCTTTGCCGGGGGAACATTATTGTTTGTGGTGTTGTGTCAGCTGGTACCGCTCAAGAGCACGCAACGGCATTTCTGCGTTGGGTTGATCCGATGGCGTGGAGGAGACAGGCTGTAGGTGGCTACGAGGAAGCAGACAGTTCTACAGCAGTGGTCGGGAGTAGGGACGGACGGGCTGGCAACAGATGAGAAAATAAAACGCAATAACAGATAGAACATCGCCTCTTTGTAGCTCAGGTATTATGTGAGATGAGAAAAGAGGGTGCAGTTCACACACCTACTGCGTAAAGTGCGTCACGAGCGTGGCTTTCTTCACCAGGTGGACTTCACGGGGAGGGCACAGCTGGTCTGGGGGTCCCGGGTGGCAACTGGAAGATGTCAGAGGGTGAGCTGCTGGCACGCGTACACGGCCTCGGGGTTCTGGGCTTCTGCTGGAGGCTCAGTCTGGGAGCTGTGGTGTGGGTCGATGCGTCAGCTGCCTCTTAATGGGAAGTGAGGTTGCGGGGAGAGGGGGGGGAAATCGATTGTGGGATAGGAAATCAAAGGACTGATCTGCTGCTGTGTTCCACCTGCGCACAAAACAGGGTGATGCAGGACGGTGCTTCCTTGACATTATGATTAAAGAGAATAATTGCCGCTTCTTCCTTTCTTGTGAGTGTCCGGATCGGTTCCTTTGAAGGTAAATGGGATTATGTCACAGCCCTTGAGTGAGACATTTAACTCCAGCAGCTTTCTTCGAGTGCGAGGCGATGAGTGTGGCAAATTCAATAGCAGAGCCTGCCCTGTCCCCTTAGAAGAAGCCCAGACCTGCTGTCTGGCTGCCACGCTGGGGATTTCTGTCTCTCGGGGCAGGCTGCGGGTGGGACGAGGTCCCTGCTGCCCCCCTCATCACACACTTCTCTTACTGGTGCTTTTGCCAGTGAAATAATTTCTGATTTTTACTCAAATATCTAAAGCGTTAGTACACAAACTGAAGATCTGAACAGAATAAATGCACAAGTCGTCTATGAAATCGGGAATCGCTGTATCTGTTTGCCGTCAGGAATGGTGGATGGATGTTTGATGTGGGCCTCACTCAGTGAGGCTCTTTCTGGGCCAGATCCCATCTAACGTCTCCGCGCACAGGCTGCGTCGTGTGCGCAGAGACTTATCCTTTATTTGAACAGCCGAACCACTGAGTGCAGATGCAGTGGTGACACTGAATGTCTTTGAGATTCTTCTTGAACCTCGTCAGGGATGGAGAAAGTCTCATCGCCAAGACCTTGCAGAAATTGAGTCAGTGGCCTCCGAAAATTAAGACTGGTCGTCTCCTGCCCTGCTCCCTCAGTAGGACACAGGCCGTCACCGATCGGACGGGAGTCTACAACAGCCTGGGTATGTACGGGCAACCTGTGGTCCGAGCCTTTTGGGATGAAGCATGTACAAATTACTCGGTGTGCTTTTCACTTTTTTTTTTAACTGATGTTGAGGGGGAAAAAAAAAAAAAGATCGGAATTGGAATTAAAAGCGTCAAAGTAATTGGCGTGCCCAGGACAGGGGCAGTAGCCCAGCCGTGGAGGGGGAGCAATGTCTCGCGTTGGTTGGCTTCCCCTGTGAGCGCCGGGTCACGGTTTGCGCTGACAGTCAGCCCCGAATGTCCCCAAGGAGCAGAGCTGGTGGTGCTCTGGTAATCCTGCTGATAAAATCCTTCCCCGCAGAGCACGTTGTGGTGCCGGCTGCTCCCTGGGGGGACTTCTGGCACGTACGTGGGACGTTTCCTTCAGCTGCTGTCTCACTGCTCATGAGCAGCTTTTCTCCAGAGATGGAGTGGCATAAAGGCAGTCACTGAAACGAGATGAGGTTGAAAGTGTGGAGGAGGAGTGAGGGTTAACCACCGCAAGTGCCGTACTGGTGACTGCTGCACCTGCCAGGTGTTCGTGGTGGCCCAATCCGCAGCGTGGGTTTGTTGGTCACCTTGGGATTTGAGGTGACTGCGCTAAATCCACCTCTTGGTTTTTCAGCAAAATTGGGCCTGGGAAGCTGGAGGTTCCTCCTCCCCACGGGGAAGGTGGTGAGCTGGGGCAGAGAGCCCCTGGACCCAAGAGAGAGCTTCAAGAAGCAGCAGAAATCACAACTGCTGAAATGAACCATCTCTAAGCTCTGCTCAACTGTGAGAGACCCGTAGTGGTTGTGGGAGAGGCGGAGGCTCTCACTGCTGGTTCTTCCTCTCTCAGACCTTCGCCCGAGGTCGGACTCGGATGGAGCTGGGCGCTCCACATCCCTTTTGGATGCTGTCAGGGGCTTGGATAGGCCTCTGGGCGTCTCACTTCTGCTGCTTGGCGTGGCAGAGCCGCAATGGGGTGGGATGCGAAGCGGTGGGGTGGGATGCGAAGCGGTGGGGTGGGATGCGATGCGATGGGGTGGGATGCGAAGCGATGGGGTGGGGTGGGATGCGAAGCGATGCAATGGGGTGGGGTGGGGTGGGATGGGGTGGGATGGAGGTGGGAGCCTCGTTGCTCGCTAGGTTTTGAATCCTCCTTCCCCATGCCTTGTGGGTCGTGACAAGTGTCCTCTGCGGCGCGTGGGAAGCTGTGTCTGAGGGCCAGATCCTGCCCGAGGAGGAACACCTTCCCCACGTGCCCTGGGACATCCCTCGTCCCCCAACCCCAACTGCTCTGCGCTAAAGGGACAGTGGAGGGACTTCACTTGTTGCGTCTCAGTGGGAAGTGTAACTTAATTATATTTTAGCTCTTGGGATAATTAATTATCTTGGGATTTTATTTTTTTTTTAAAAGTAATTACAAGTGGGCAGTGCAGACAGTTTGGATAGAAAGGCAGTGCTCAGCCTGCACATGGGAGGAAAAGGATTTTAAATTATTTTTAAATACTTCTCATGAGCGAGCAGATTTACAGTGGGCTGTAAACGCTTTGCGGCGCTGAGTTATGGTAGCACCGCGCAGACCTGGGCTTGCTGGCAGCCGCCACGATGGCACTGCTGTAAAGGCATCGGTGTGTGGAGAGATCTTGGTGGCGCTTATAAATCTCTCTAAATAAAGATAATGAGTCAAATTGGTACGGGGAGAGTACCCGGGACGGGGAGATCTGCAACCAGGGGCTGCATTTCGGGGCTCAGCCTCTCCAGCCTGTTCCACTGGGGATTAAATATAATAATAGTAATAATAATAATATAAACTGCCCTGGCCAAAGTGCAGAGGGCAGAGTTTCATGGGGATGAAGGTCTTGCGTGGGGCTCTCTGGGATGGGGCTGGGGTTGAGATGGAGCCAAGTTAGGTGGTGGAGCAGGACCTCTGAAAGCGCTAGTCCAGCCTCCTGCTTGGAGCAGTCTGGTGCTGTTCTGGAGGTGTCAAAGGATGGATGTGGGACCTGGAATTGGTTAATCCCGGGGCCACGGGATCTCTCCGGCACACTCTATGTGCCCAATGCCTCGCAAGCCTCATCTGTTGAATGATGTTGCTGGTACTACAGTAACCCTCCCCTCTCTCCCCTCCCTGTCTTCTCTAAGAACCGATGCAAACCCAAAAATACGTACGTTTAAGTGTCACCATCCAGCGGTCACACGTGGGCTGTGCGTGGCGTTGAGGGGTGCAGGGTCTGAGCCAGGCAGGGAGGGATTGTCACTGCAGAAATCTGAGCGCTAAAAGAGCGGAAAGACCTGGAAAGCATCACACCTTCCTGCCGAAGGGCGAGAAACGAGGCTGCGGGTGGCTGGGGAGGAGGGCTGGTACCCGGTACAGCCGTTAGGGCATCCCTCTTCTCGCTTTGGAGCACCAAAGGTCCCTCTGTCCGTTAGACAGGAGCACGAGGGTCATGGTGAGACCCAGGCGCGTGCTCCCGACCCCACCGCGGTCTGTCCCCGCACGTGGGAAGAGGCCTTCCTTAACCACAGGTTCGGTGTTTGGCTCTTAATATTTCCCTTATTCTTTCGCACAGAGGTGTTTTGAAAACTTTTTTTTACTTGATAAAGAGATTTGGGATCACTGTGACAACACAGTAAATCTCCTAAGTCAATACCACTTTAATAATTTTACCACCACATTGATTCTATATATTGAAAAAAGGAGATTTAAGTCTTTTCCTGGATTACCTACTGCAGAGAAGCTGTCATTACCTCTCTTCCTTTCAACAAGACTCTTCCCTCAGCCCCAATTTTTCTTGTCCTTCCTCCAGCGCTCGAGTTCGTTCCACAGGTCTTGTTGCACTGCAACTTGTGCAGAGGTTTAGATAATTGCTGGTTTTTTTGGCTGTCCTCTGCAAACATATTTAATCATTTCCAGTATTATCTTTTGCCAAGTACCGCGTGCGTGTTTGTGAAGCCTGGTTTAACTCTGCCTTAAATATTAAATACTGCGTGTTGTGTAGCTGGTCACCCGCTGTACTCCGTCAGTATGAAGACGTGCAGTTTGCTTGGCGAGGGCTTTTCGAGGGGGAGGTCTATCGGTCGCTGGCTGAGATGGCGCGTCCCCACCCGCTGCTTCTGCAGATGGGTTCAGCTCTCTGCGGTGATGGGGCAGCGGCAGTGCCGGAGTCCTGGCAGGAATATTTAGTGGTGAACCCCTTGTGCCAGCACGGGAGACAGCCCTGGCGCTGGGTCCTGGTGGCAATTGGGTGCTCTTCAACCCTCCTCCTTTGGGGAGAGCACCCTGAACACACATCATCCCGGCCATCGTGCTGGAAAGGCCAGGGGGAGCGGGTCCTTGTCACAAAAGGTGGCACATCCCCAAGTGGCCCCAGTCAGAATCATAGAAGCACAGACTGGTTTGGGTTGGAAGGGACCTTGAAGATCATGC